GAGAATCAGTGCGGGAGGGAACTATATGTCATCGGATATATGACAAGGGTGGCCTTGCAAGGACACGCTGCAGGTCAATACCGGTGATGCAGCCGCACATATTGGCCCCTATTATGGGGGATACGTGATGTGATGGTGAGGCCACACATCGGCCATCGGGGGGACGGCCCTAGCACCGTGCAGTCTGCAAAGAAGAAAAGAATCCCATTCAAACAGAAAAGTCTGATACAGCCGTCTCTCACATTGTGGCTGCCCCAGCTGTTGGTACTGATTTGGCCATGAAGTTTTTGCCTGCCGGTGGGCGATCGGAGTATCTCACCCACCCTTCCGGAGTCCGGGCCTTTTGATGAGCAGAGGGTCATTTACAAGAGACCGGACGTGTCCCGGCCGCCTTGAGCCAGGTGGGGGCCGAGCCAACCTGGTCAGCAAGTGCTCACAGTTTTGCCTCCCGCGTCTGCTGCCCAAAGCCATAATTTTCTGCCGTGTTTTCTGTTGAGCAGACTCAGCAAAAGCTGTGGCTTCCCGCTTGTCGAGGATCAAGATTTTGGGTCGAGGTGGTTGCCTCCGCACTGCAACGTCAGCCCCCATATCGTTTTCGGATGCCGAGCAGAATCGAACTCATCTGATTAGGTGATTCGTGGAACGTCGAATAATCCATGGGAACGCTGATCACGGGGTGGTCTGGCCTTCGTTAAAGATGTCTTGAACAAAGAGCTTTCAATGCCGTCTCGGGATCGCCACGTTGCCGCAGCCCAGGATTGCAGCCCTCGTGCTTGTTAATACTGACTGAGAGAGGCGGGATGAGGTGCGACATCAATCCTGTGCATCAGGCTTCATGCGATGATTGGTCTTACGGAGTATCGGAGGACCTCCGAGAATGCCAAAAGGCTGGACGATTCAGATCTTGAAAGCCATCATTGTATCTTGACTGTTGTGGGCGATTTGTTTGCATCAGGAAGATTACGATCCCCCTGCAGCTCACGCGCCCCTGGTGCCCCATAGGCCATGTCGCACTACCCGCCCGAATGTCGCGCGACGAACAAGAATAGAAGCGGTATGAGAAACTCGGTATCGATCTAATAGTCAGATGCTTGGCAGTCTTTTAGCGGCTCGTCGGATGTTGTAGCTCGCCGATTATGAAGGCGTCACCCGCTGCAAGGTACGAGTTCTCTATTATCTGCTCCATTGCAGATGCATCCCTGGTTCGTTTTCCAGAACATCTCGAATAATTTCATGCTTTCGCAGACACCAGGTTTGGTAGGCCGCGCTAGAAGAACACATCTGCTATCATGACGTACCTTGGCGCCGAGGTTCGCCAGTTGGAACGAAACATCATAAGGAAATAGGGGCAGAAAATCCTGGGCTGTGCCTGTGCTACGATGCTGGCGACTGGGTAACTAGGTTTGCCCTGAGTGCCACTTGCCAAATCTCTGTGAGGGCGATTGACTCAAGCTCATTCTTCCCGAAACTCTGTCACTTAACCAGCCAGGAGAACCATTAAGAGCTGGTCCTCGGGGCCAAGACTGGTTTGTGCGTGTTGCCATCTCTGAAAACAAGAGAAAACTCAATTCGAGTCTTGCGAAGTGTTGAACATGTGGCTAGCTTTCAAAGCTGCGCGAAACTCAATACTAGAGTCAATGCTGTGCGGACAGCCTGTGCTGCATGGCCGTTTGTAGATCGATCAACTTTCGCGACCGACTGTTGAGAGGGGCCAATTGGAGATATTCCCGATCACCGCAGCTAGTTTCTAGTTGAGCGATGATCTTAGAAAAACAGATCTTCCGGCATTAAGGACTTGTTTTAACTTTACAGAAAATTGGAGACTGAGCACCGGCAACATGCACCAGCTCTCATGTCGCTGTCCAAATGATGTGGGAGGCTGCATCATCCAAACGAGAACGAGATACTCTTTAGCCTCGCATTCGCCCCGACAGCACTTTCAGTTCTTGGCAGGGGAATGGCGTCGTACATCTCCAATTCTTTGACGGGATGAACAGCCCGGACTCTCTAGACATCTTTCGCTTGCGTTACTGATAAGCCATCCGGCGACCGCGGGAAATGAAAAGGAGTGAGCCGAGTCAATTGCGAGTTTGCGACTTACGCATCCCCCAATATGCATCCACGTCATCGCCCGACCCCGTCTCGGTCTGACTTGGTTATTACCGCGAACCTTCCTCCGGGCTGCCCGGCCTGCTCCGCCGCCGCTCCGTATTAATTCCTCTTGAATCGTTTTCTCTGCCTGCCTGCCATACCACTGCTGGTGTCCGCGCCTCGCCTCCATTCCGGGTCAATTCTGCTCTTCTCCGCGTAGGTTTCGGAAGTTGTTTATTTCTGTTGTTAAAAGTCGCACCTCTGATTGCGGGCAGCAATTAACACCATTTACCAGCTGTTGGTCTTTTAGAAACCCTGCGAGGGCGTGGCTCTGGTACAATGATCGCTGCAAGCAACCGGATGACTGCTTCAGTGTAGGGTCCTAGGAAATGGTCATTTGCGATCCTAGGGCTTTGAGTGCATTGAAGAAGCCAAAATCGAAGAGTTGCCAGCGCTTAAACTTGCTACATGCTATTCTATCGTGATAAGATGAGACAGCTGTTTCTATAACACCCTCGAAGCGCAGCTGTAGTGCGTTGTGCAAAGTATGTTACAAAAGACTAGGCGTCGTTGTTTAAGTGTTCTCACATATATTTGACTTTTTGCCCTATAGCACTTGATAAAGAATGACCTCGGCGTAACAAATGAAAAATATTACCGTTATTCGCGGCTTTACCTTGTAAATTCATTGAAGTAAAGGAGATACGGAGCACTTGAGTTGAGGCTTACATTCATTTACTACACGTGCCGAGATAATGAGCATTACATTTGTGCCATTCGAGGCTATGAAGCTTGGCTACAGGAGTTCTTTCGCAGGCAGATCACAGAACCATTTCTTTGTCTCAATCTACTACATCAACATGCGTTTCTAGCTGAATTCTCCTGTTTTTAGTATTTTCTTCGGCTGATTAGGCTTTTCTGTTGCGATGAGATGTAGTCAAACGAAGCCAAGGTCCTCAACACCAAGCCGGCTAAAACGGCCGGTTAGGTCGGCAAACCCGCCATCACGATGGATCACCAGAACCACCAATGTGGGAACGATCCCAGCCTAAGCTTAATCAAAAGTTTATCCCCTCTGTCGTCAATTTTATTTTGACTTGATAATTGCTCATCTGCGTCTTGGCATACATCGTCGCCCGTCGCCGCGTCTTTGGGAGCGATCTCCGCCCGCTCTCGGAGGATTGAGAAGCGCCACAATATCAGGATCACTCTCGCATGCTTGTACCTCGTCAACGAGTACAGAATATGTCGGGAGTCCGCCGATTGGCTATAAGACAGTTCTGAGGTGTGACGTGCGCTTTTAGCTTGGGCATCTGTCCCCGACGACATGTAAAGTCTTGGCAAAGTCACCGGAGGAAAGCAAGATGTCTTCGGATGCAGAGAAAAGTAGAATACTCGAGACGATATAAACCACGGGATGCTTCTCTCTTCTTGGTTTCGAAAATTATTCACTACTACCTCCCACCGCAATCAACTGAAAGTCATCAAGACCCGTCTTCATCATACAACATGCACTACCTCCAAACAGCACTCGCCATCATGGCAGCGGCGGGCCCGTCTCTTGCAGATCGAGACTTCTCCGTCGTCCGGGGTACAGGCGCACCTCACGGCATCAGCGCAGCAGACTGGGACTCGGCAATGGACCATCCCAACCTGACGACCTCCTACCGCTTCAACGGCCCAGACGTATCTGCTGCCTTTCCGCCAGCCAACGATTCCAGCTGGACGGGGATCCCCTTTGACCTCAGCGTCAACGTCGCTGCGCGTGTTCATACCACTCGCAACGATAAGCGACAGTTGCAGCAGTTGTCATATCGGCTCAGAAGTAGAGATGACGATGACGACGATGATGACGATAACGACAACAATAGGAACAGGAACAGGAGCGGAAATAGGAATTACTTCACCGGTTCCTCCATCAACCTCAAACAAGTCGGTGGACAACAAAAAGTCGACGCAGGCTGGAAGCTATGCGTCAACACCTTCATACCAAGGCTGGATCGGGTGGCTAGAAGCGGGTCTCAAGATGACAGCGGCGACTGCGGTGCCTTTCTCTCCGCCGAGTGCCGCCAGAAGCTTTTGGACACATCCTCTGGTCAGTTTGGGTCTTGCGGGGTCGCCGACCTGCCCAGCGAATGCAAAGATTTCCTCGAGGATGCCAACGATGAGCGCTTTGGTTACTGTAAGTTCTCATTATACCAGAATATTCTTGCAGTCAAAGGATAGCAGCTTACACACTTGCTTGTACAGCTCCCAACATCGCCTCTGGATCTCAAATCTTCGCCTACGGATCCCAAGCCTATAACTGGGGCAACAACGACAACAACGACGACGACCGTCGCCGAGGTGGCGAGTACGCTATCGCGAGCCGGATGATTTGGCCCGTGATGCTGACCTGGGGTGGCTCTGGCGATGCTGCGGAGAGTCGGGCTACTCTGCACTGCGTCCGCGCGAAGGATGTCGTCGCGGGGAGCGATGTGCCTCAGACTCTGAACGAAGACGATGATAATGACAATGACGACGACGATGATGATGACAATGACCGCAACCGTAATGCGGCTGGCATCAAGGGGCCCTTTGCTGGGTGGTCGTTCATCTTGGCTGTGCATGTTGCCCTTGCGATGATATTTTACTGCTAGAGCATGAGTTTATTACAAAGGGTTGAATGGGTTGCGAATTCTTCTCGCAAAGTTGGATAGACGATGGATGACTTTGGATTTGGTAAGACCATGTTTGTCATTCTTAACTAGGGGATATTGAACGGGGATAGATCATGTTCTGGAGTCAAGGATGTAAACTATTTGGTTCTGTTATTGGTTTACCTTAGATTGACTACGTTATATTGTGAAAAGTTCAATTGGCCTTTGAGAGAATAACTTCTATCTACTCGGCTTGTATGCCTACGTCACCTACTTGAGTGAGGCTGGCGTCTCCATCCTTCCAAGAAAAGTTTGTAAATCCTCCAGTTTGATACCTCGCTCATGATTCAACGTCTTCTCCAACGGCCAAGAGATCCCCTTGCCCGCACCAAAGATTCCGCGGTACTTATTCCAGTTGTTCCCGGGATCTTGCACAAGACTATTCCTGATCGCCTCCATATTCCACACTTCCCTGCCGAACTCAACCCCCGGGAACCGTTCCTCAACCAAGCCCGCCACAGTCCCGTATGAGACAGTGTCCCCAGCAACATACACAACATTCCGGCCATTGCTAGGAACCCCACGGGGCTCAAACACCAACTCAGCCGTCATCCTCGCGATATCATCCGGCTGTGTGAGCGTAATCTCAACATCCCAGCTCCCAAGAGCCCTCAACTTCTTTTCCTCGAAATCGACAACGCCAAAGTCCTTCACAAATAGGAAGCTCATGAAGAGGCCAGTACTAACGATGATCCACTCAGTGCTGCACCGAGTCCGCAGCATGTTTCTCACCTCAAGCTGCTCGTCAAACAACGTCTGCGTGCTGCCTCGTCCAATGATGTCATAATCGACGCCAAATTGCCATGGAAAGTACCGCGGAACCTTGGCCAGGAGAGCCGCCTCGCAGATGCGTAGCTGTGTTCCGGCCGGGCCGACGAAGCCTGTGCAGCTTATGACGGTGTCATATTTCGCAAAGATGGAGGCCAGGGATGTGAGTGAGTCGTATACGACGTCGCCGGGCTCGAGGAAGATGCCGAGGGATTTGATGCGTGCGATTGATTTGGCTTTGGACGGGCCAGTTGATGATATTGTGGAAGGGCGGAGCAGCACGGAGATTTTGGAGGTGAGTGGACGGGAGGGATGGGATGTGAGGGCGTTGAGGATGGCTGTGCCGAGTTCGCCTGCTCCGAGGACGAGGATTGACATGTTGGTGAGGAGTATTATATGCGGTTTAGAAAAGGCGGCTGCAATCCGAGCGAGATATGGACTTCGGTACGAAATGGTATGTTGATAGAATGATCGTAAGCTCCGTTTGGATACTTCTACGCGCTTCAATACGGATCGAACCTGGGACTTTGGCTAGGTTCTTCAGGCTGTTTGTCGTATTAATACCACAAACTATCGAAGAAAGTCCCCAAGGAGCAGCACCAGCCCGATCAGGTATCGTATATACCAATCTCTATATTCACGTGAATCAAACACTAGCTATTTGTACATGGACTGATGTAATCCTGCGCTGATCCGGAGCAGTGCGGGGTCTTCCACGGAGGCTGCCGCGGAGTCCTCCTCCGTCTGAGTAAGCACCGGGGTTACGGTGGCTAAAACCGGTGGCGGATCTCCGTGGCTGGCTTCAAGCCCGGACGGTATGAGGCAATCAACGTGGACAACTTTCCTATCTGAGATCTATACCATACTAACAGTATACTGTGTTATTTACGAAGAGTAATATGCAATGTCATTATTTTATAGTCAAGGGGGCGTGAAAGTCATTATACCCAGTCCTGTCCAACCTGTATGTACGGTCTCCATGGATCCAACCAACATGAAGTGCCAGCAAAGACACTCCTCCAAACCGTTTGATGCAAAGCATCATGCCCAACTCCGGATATCATCAAACAAAGTTTTATGCAACAGACCTCGAGATCCTTCTCACCACCGTCCTTGAATGGCCTCACGGGACCCATGGTCTACTCTCCTCGACAACACTTCGCTGCTGAATCACCAACTCCTCATACGTATCCGGGAGCCGTGGCCACTGTGGCTGCGACCACTCGTCGCCCGCAGGCACGGCCGGATACCCGCTCTTCAGTGTGAGCACGGCATCCACCGTCTCCTCGACCTCATCGTCGTCCACCTCCGAGTCAGCCTCGTCGAGCGGCGTACACGCCTGGAAGGGCTCCTCGCGCCGTACCGCGTCCACGGCGTCTTTGATGACCTCCTCCCACCAGTCGACCTCATCCCACGACACCTGCTCTGCTTCATCGTCAGAAGTATCCTCCGAACCATCCAGTTCCTGAACCTGGACCTGGCCTCGAGTGTCCACCTTTTCCAACCCCTTGAGATCTTGTTCCTCCTCGTCGGTCTCGTCGTCGACTTCTAATATGTCCTGTTGCGTCGGCTCGGGCACCCTCCTCCCGGGTTGCATAGCATGCACCGCTTCGATCGGCAACCCCGTGATGATGGATACAGCCGTCTCGATCCCCCTCTTGACAGCAAGCGCGCCAAGCAGCAGCTTCAAGGCGTGCTCCCACCGGCCCTGGAGCATAAACATCTTGCCCCGGCACCACTCGTATTTGATAAAATTCCTATGATGGCTCGGCCGGCCCCAGTACTCCCTCTGCAGCTGCGAATACGCAATCAGCGCGTTCGCCTTGTCGCCCGCCAGCTCGTACAAGTACGCGAGGTACTTTAGTATATTCCGAATCTGCGCCTCGTCCTGGAAGTCGTTGGACGCCGCCCGCTCGATCTCGAGACACTTGCGGTACTCGTACGCCGCCTCCTCGTGGAGCCCCGCGCACCGCAGCGTGTGCGCGAGGTTCAGCCGCGTCTCCAGCGTCTGCTCGACCACGCGCGCGACGTCGCTCGCCTCGCGCCGGCACATGTCGCGCAGGATGACAATCGCCTCGTCCCACCTCCGCAGGGCCTTGAGCGCCGTGACGTGGTCCTCCATGTTGCGCAGCGTCACCGTGCTGCAGACCCCGAACCGAGCCCTGTGCTCGTCCAGCACGCGCTGGAAGCGCCGGCAGAGCCCAATGACCTCGTCGTACTTTTTCAGCCGCAGGCTCGTGAGCCGCGCCAGCTTCAGCGTCCACTCGCCGTTGGCGTAGTGCAGCAGGTCGGCGGCCAGGTCCATGTTGCCAATCTCCACGCGGGCCTCCTCGTCCCGCCCGCGCTCCGAGAGGCACATTGCGATATTGTAGTCGATGGCGGCCTTCTCTTCGTGCCCGAAGACGGGTACCTCCTCGTTCCAGTCCCGCGCGATGCGGTAGGCGATCTCAGCCTCTTCGTACTTGTCCTGATTGACGAGCATGCTCGCCAGGTCGCGTTGCGCTTCGATCGTCGTGACGTGGCGTTTACCCCTCCGCCGCACCAGCGTGGGCACCAGCTCGCGCAGCAGCTTCTCCCCTTCGGCCCAGCGACTTGTGTAGTAGTATATCTCGCCCAACTCGACCATAGAGTGTAGACAAAAGTCGCGCCATGAACCTGTAAAAAGCGTCCAGCGGAACGATCTACCCCTGCTGCTGCTGCCCGAATCCGATGATCGCCCTTCGCGGCTCTGGCGCAGCAGGCGCTCGGCGAGATGAGCCAGCTCTTCGGCCTCAGCGATGTCGCCCAGATCCTCGCGGCGCACGAGGGTGTCGCCGAGGAGCAGGACGGCGCGCATTAGGTAGAAAGTCTGGTCCTCGCTCGTTGGGAGACCCTCGAGGAGTAGTTTCGCCATGCGGAGGTGGTGCTGAGCTGAGATCCAGTCTTCGGGGGTTTGGTTGCGGTAGGCGTGGCCGACGCTCAGCAGGGCCAGCCCCTCGGTCAGCGTCCCCAGGCCTTGGGACTGGCGGAGGGCGAAGGTGCCGAGGCGTAGGGCCATGCTCCATTTCCCGCGCAGCTTGAGGAGTTCTGAGATGCCGAGGAGGGTGAGGATGGAGGCTTTGTCGGAGGTGCGGCTCACCGCCCCCCATCGCGGGGCCTTGTTCGGGCGCATGGCGGATGGTTTTCTTGGGGGTTTCGGGCTGGCTCACCGCGTTGGGGTATTTCGCTATTGGGGGGATGTCGCCCCCTCGAAAGGACCTGCTCGTGTATCGCTGTCGGGTGTCGTTGTCGGAGGCGTCGTGGATGTCGTCGGGACACTGAGTCTTTGGGCTTGAAGTTGAGTAGGTGTCGCAAAGGTGAAGCAGACCAGTAGGAGAAGTGAGGAATGCGGCCGTTGAGGTGAGAGGCGCGCGGAATGAGATGAGAGTGAGTCAAATTTTGATGAGCGCCGTGAACGTGTGCAGTGAGCTGCGCTGAGCGAGCCAGACCAGTGGCTGTCCTCCCTCCCGAGAAGCCAAGTCTGGCCAATTCCCGAGCCCCGTCGCGTTGGAGAAAGATTAAAGTGAGAAAAAAGAGTTGAGGTGAGTGAGAAAGTGAGAATGAGTGTGGTTCGGAGTAAGTCACGCAGAAGACCCCTCCCTCCTCGTGGCCACCGCACCTGAGCTACCTTGGAGAACGGGTTACCGATTGAGCTTGTGCTGGTTCCTGATTCTGGATGAGAGGGTTGCAAGATCGAAACGAGGCGAAAAGAAAGGTGTGGTGAGAAAGAAACGGCGAGGCGGCGGCAGCATGAGCTTGGAGTAAAGCCACGCTTACTCCCTGCGGCCCGGAACCCAAACAAGTTGAGGTAAGGTGATCGATCTCCCTTTTGGTTCCTTTTCGCCTTCGTCTACATGCACACTACCTTAGGTGCCACGGTGCTTAGGCTTCGGAGGTTGCCAGTGGTCGCGAACCATGGGACACAAGTCATAGATCAAGTTGGAGGAACCTAACTTGATGAAGGAGAGGGGCTGGACTGCGTGCGTGTGGCCATGCGACCATTCAGGGCGAGGCACTTGTCCTGCAGATCCAGGACGTGCCAGTGTGCGTGCTTCAGGACGAAGCCATCTGACGGCCAATCACCAACAGGACCCGGCGGTAAGACCGGCAGTCAGAATCTCAGAAAAAGGGTCCGAAAGGGATGCTGAAGTGTGGAGAGGTCCTGACATACAGGCCGGTGTCGCATCCGATCGTCGAGCAAAGGGCGGGATGAAGCAAGGTCACCACTTTACCAAGCAATAGCCGAGTCCCGACAAGGAAGAGAGCTTGACAAAAGTATCAACAAGACGGTGTTATGGCACCGATCAGAGCCTGGATTGGGCGAGACATGGAGGTTGGCATGGGACAAAGTTGGGACCAAAGATACCCGGGTGGCAGGGGGAAGAGTCGGGAACATAGCTGCGGGGCGACAAACACAGCATAAACAACAGCATGGATCTATGGGAGCCGTCAGACATCCCTCGCCGGACGAACTCTCTCTTATCCCTGTGTACCCCAAAGCCTTTGCGCTGGACCCTTTGGCCTCCAGGTACAATGTAAGGGAAACATAACTTGTTGACCACATTATCTAAGCAGACACAGGCATCCATGGACATGACAAACGGCGCTATTAGAACCCAAGGCGCCCCGAGCCATGCCCCAACGAGAATCGGGTTGTGGACTTGTCTCTCCCTGCAGTGCTGCTAAGAAACATTTGGGTGCTGTGTTGATGTAAGGAAATGTGGGTAGCTGAAACATCGATTTGTACGTGACTGCATGGTAAACGCATGGCTAATAGGAACTCATCGCAGATAGCCAGACATTGAAGAGAAAAGAAAGCAAACACTTAGAGAACACTTGCTTCTTCAACAACTCCATCTTACCGCGCTCCAATAGCCAACTGAGCGACGCATTCCAGAAGGAACGAAACCTGAAACAGGCCGTCAACGGGCCCTGTTGGCGGTGAGACTGTGCGCAAATTCCCGATCAAAACACCAAGACACGTCCAAATTCCAGAAACATCCCCTTGATCTTTCCTCTTACCCCGGACTTTGGAATCGCTTTCGAGGAGACAAACAAACCGATTCAACTGATGACCCTGTTGTTGCTGTTCTTGACATGCTTCTAGGCCATCCCAAGACTTTGGCTGGTAGTGACGCTGACGTTCAAGGCGGCAGATTAGTCCACCAGCGCCCTACGCTATAATCATGGCCGCGACTTCAAAGTTTTGAACTGCCCGCATGCAGGAATGCAGCGCACGTTGACGGTCTATCTATGGTCATCAAAGAAATTAAGTACGTCATCGTCCATCTTGACTCGGGGACACGTAGGATTCTCCACGGTCTTCCCGTGCCAATATTCGGCCCTCCGCGCCTGCATTT